AGTAGTAGTAGTAGTAGTGTAGTAGTAGTTAGTAGTAGTTAGTAGTAGTATTAGTAGTCGTAGTCGTCAGTAGTAGTAGTAGTAGTAGTAGTAGTAGTAGTAGTAGTAGTAGTAATACTAGTAGTAGTAGTAGTAGTAATACTAGTAGTAGTAGTAGTAGTAGTAGTAGTAGTAGTAGTAGTAGTAGTAGTAGCAGTAGCAGTAGCAGTAGCAGTAGCAGTAGCAGTAGCAGTAGCAGTAGCAGTTGAAGTATGAGTAGTTGTTGTTGTTGTAGTAGGAGTCGTGGTGGTAGCGGTGGGAGTAGCGGTAGACGTCGTAGTCGTTGTCGTTGTCGCAGTGCTTGGGGATATACTAGGGCCTTCTTGGCGATATGTGGAGACATCTTGGGGATATACTAGGACCTTCTGGGCGATATGTTGGAGGTCTCGGAGCCCACGGGGCGCTCTTAGGGCCCTCTTGGGGCTCTTTGGGAGGGGTCTGGGAGGCATCTTGGGGCCATCTTTCGGGCGATCGATCACAAATGGGGCGAGCATTTTTCTCCCCCCCCCCGTCGGGGCCACGATCCTTGTGAGGGGTGTCGAATTTTAGCCCTCCCAGGAGTCGAAAAAACCCCTCCGACCACCCGCGGAAGGACCTCTCCAGGCCCAGGGGGAGGGGGGAGGGGGAGGGGTAAGCCCCTCCCCGAAGGGGAAGAAGGGGGTTGAGAACAGAGCGGGCTCTCTAAACCACTCACGCCCAAAGGGCTGGTGGGATTACCGGGGCAACCAGCATCGCCAGGTGGCATGTATTTGCCCGCGCGCTCTTCTCAGAACATGCAAGACCGCGGGACACACGAGACACCATGATCGATCTCACGACCGATCTCGGTGAGTATACCTATACGACCGCCCTGCGGGCGAGAAGGAGGTTGGGGGGGGATTGAGATCAAATGCCCACCCTGACTAACCTCCAGCCTGTCACCGCCGCAGGCGCCGACAAGAATGAATTGATGGATTGGGTTGGTGGATTGGATTGGATGGGATAAGATGGATGGGATAAAATAAGATGGATTGGATTGGAAAAAATGGATTGGATAAGATAAGATGGATTGGATTGGCCCGCCGCAGGCACAGAAACAAATGAATTGATGGATTGGGTTGGGTGGATTGAATTGGGTGGGATAAGATAAGATGGGACAAAATGGGTTGGATCAGATAAAGATGGGTTGGGTTGGACAAGATGGATTGGATAAGATAAGCTGGATTGGATAAGAAAGCCCTCCGCAGGTGCCGAAAAAAATGAATTGTGAAATTATCGACAGGCGTTAGCGCCGGGACGCCCGGGACACCCGGGACACCGCCCAGCCCAACTGGGACACCTCCCGGCCACCGGCGGACGGGAGACGGACTTTCGCTCCACCCGGGACACCGCCCTGGCCCAACTGGGACACCTCCCAGCCACCGGCGGACGGGAACGGACTTTCGCTCCTACTTCGGCCTAGCTACCGGAGGATCACGCGCAGCTTCGCCTCGCCCGCACGCACGACACGAACACGAAGCCGAAACCGATTTCCCGGTGGGGGGTCTCCGTTTCACTGCGATCTCACCCCCCAACCTCCGACATAGTGCGATCGATCCGTCGATCGAACACATCATCGATCTACCTGTAGTGCTGTATATGTCGCTTGGTGGGTGCTTCGGCCCCACCCTGGAGCGCCCTCGCGGCGTTCCAAGCAGGTCGCACAATAGATCGATCTCACTACAGAGTTACCGATCGATCTTCTATCGATCTCACTCTATATCTGTGCATCGGTCTCACTATCGATATCGCAGTCGAGCCCACTATCGAGACCACGATCGACCTCGCACTCGAATTCACTACGAGACACCAACGCACCCGGGCACCCAGCGGAACTAGGGTGCATTGCTTTGCCCGCGCGCTCATTTGTGAGGAGAACTTGTGAAGAACATGGATCTCACTATCGATCGATATCACCCCCAGCTTCCGATCTATCGACCTCATTATCGGACTCACGGCCGACGCCACTATGTACCTTGCATTCTCTCCACACATCGATCTCACTATCGGAAAAAACGCGTTCTGTGGTCGCTTGGAGGGGGGGGGGGGGTGGAACCGGACCCCCCCCTCCTCCCTGGATGGAGGGGGGGGGGGTTGGAACCAGACCCCCCCCTCCCACCCCCTCCCTTCCCTGCTTCCCCTGTTCTCGGGCCGGCGCTTGCGTCGGCGGAGGCTGGCGACGGCGGCGGGGACAACGATTTCAATGCGGGCGGCGGTGGCGGGGAGCGTCGACGAGGACGACGGTGCTGGTGGTGGTGGTGGGTAATGGTGGTGGTGGTGGTGGCGGTGGTGGTGGTTGTGGTGGTGGTGGTGGTATGGTAGTTTGTTGTGGTGGTGGTGGTTGTGGCGGTGGGTGGTGGTGGTGGTGGTGGTGGTGGTTTGGTGGTGATGGTGGTGGTGGTGGTGGTTTGGTGGTGGTGTGGTGGTGGTTTGTGGTGGTGGTGGTGGTGGTGGTGGGTTGTGGTGGTGGTGGTGGTTTGGTGGTGGTGTGGTGGTGGTTTGTGGTGGTGGCGGTGGTGAGTTGTGGTTGTGGCGGTGGTTTGTGGAGGTGGTTTGTGGAGGTGGTGCTGGTGGTGGTGGCGGTGGTGGTGGTGGCGGTGTGGTGGTTTGTGGTGCTGGTGGTGGGTTGTGCTGCTGGTAGTGGTGGTGGTTGTGGCGGTTGTGGTAGTGGTGTTGTAGATTGCGGTGGTGGTGGTAGTGGTGGTGGGTTTTTGTGGTGGTGGTGGTTGTGATGGTGAGTTGTGGGGGTGGTGGTGGTTGTGGTGGTGTGGTGGTGGTGAGGTGGTGGTGAGGTGGTGGTGGTGGCGGTGGCGGTGGTGGTGGTGGTTTGTGGACGTTTGTTGTGGTGATGGTGGTGGTGGCGGCGGTGGTGACGGTGGTGTGGTGGTTTGTGGTTGTGGCGGTGGGTTGTGCTGCTAGTAGTGGTTGTGACGGTGGTGGTGGTGGTGTGGTAGATTGTGGTGGTGATGGTGGTAGTGGTGGTGGGTTTTTGTGGTGGTGGTAGTGGTGGTCATGGTGAGTTGTGGTGGTGGTTGTGGTGGTGGTGGTGGCTGTAGTGGTGGTGGTGGTGGTGGTGGTTTTGTGGTGCTGTTGGTGGTGGTGGTGGTGGTGGTGGTGGTGGTGGGTTGAGGCGGTGGTGGTGGTGGTGGTGGTGGTAGTGGTTGTAATCGTCGCTGCGTCCCCGCCGTCGCCGTCGCCAGCGCCGGCACTGCTGGCCGCCGTGTGCGCCGGCGCTGGCCGAGGGGGGGGGTTTGAACCCCCCCCCCCCCGGAGCCAGGGGGGGGGGTTGGGTTGAACCCCCCCCCCTGAGCTGCCTCTGGTCATCGTCGCTGCGTCCCCGCCGTGGGCGCAACGGGACACCACGGGACACCGCGCCACGGGACATTATGGGACACCACGGGACACCCCCCAACTATTACCGAGTCACCGCCGGCCAACAAGGCGGCGTAGAGTCATTGAGCGTAGTTTCGCCGCGGCGGGGTCATTCTTTTCGCCCGTCGACGCAGCTTTGCCTTGCCTCGCCCGCTCGCACGACACGAACACGGAACCGTAACCGATTTCCGTGTGGGTGGTTTTTTTTGTTTCAAATTCACCCCCACCAACCTCCAATCCCCGCGTCAACGGAACTGTTTGAATGTTTTCTGCCTCGGAGGGGGGGGGGCAGTCACCAGACCCCAGGACCGCCGAAAACGACCAAGGACGAAAAGCAGATCGCAGAGAAGAGGTCCAGACCTTTGGGGAGCTACGATGCGAGAACAACGCGACGTCGGATGATTGTATTTGGTAAGGCTGTGGGTTGCGCACAGACGGATTCCCAGTAGCGCCTGTTGGCCCCAACGGACCCCCGATGAGCCTGGATCGGTCTCAACACCTTGGCGCCGCCTCCAGCGGCGCCCCGGGGGCGTTTCGCGCCCCCAGGGTCCGGGTGTTGAGACCTCCCTGGGCTGCGTGGGAGGCTTGTTGAGGCCCGCCAGGGCTACTTTGGGGGGCTGTCTGCGCGCAGCCCGAGCCTTACCATCCGCACCCACGTCCCCCGCCGCCACTGCCCTGTGTGCACAGGGCGGCTTCGTGATTCCAATTCGTGAGGATGCGCCGCGCGGAGCGCGCATGCATGGGGCATCATGTCCATGAGACCGTCACGCGGTGTCGAGACCACAAGGGCATGATTATGCACATGCTTGTCATTCGTGAGAGGCCCGGCGAGGGAACCATTGCAGGCAGCCAGGACGCAAAAGGACGGACATCTCTGGGCTCAGGAGGGGCTCTCGTCGTCGGGTCGGGATCCCCTGCGTGACCGATGCCCGCCGCAGCCAGAAGGGGCCCTTCCTCCCTTGATTGGCGTTCCTGTTCGTAGCACGCTGGCTGAAGCAGACACGTCCGGAGGTCCGCGCGGATTTCTGTTGCGTGTTGGCGCTGGAGCCTCCTGGTGCCGCCTCCAGCGCCGCCCCCTTGTCGCCCTCCGCGCGCCAGCGGAGGGGGCCCGGCGCCGAGCCGAGAAGTGCATCGGGACCTCCGAAGAGGTTCTGCTCGTGCCGCCTGTGAGCCAGCCAGGCGGCGGAAGTGGGTGGGGCATCGTTGGCTCCGGCCGTCAGAGATGGGGGAGAGGCACCACCGCACAGGTTTCGTTAGGGGAACGAACAATGACATTAACATAAAAACTCGGAGGTCCGCGCGGATTTCTCGGATCCGCGCCGGGCCCCCCTGGCGGCGCCTCCGGCGCCGCCCCTGGCGCGCTCTGCGCGCCATGGGGGGCGGTCCAGCGCCGATCTGAGAAATCCGCACGGACCTCCGAGCTTCTGTTTATGTCATTGTTCGTTCCCGTATTCCTGCCCTGTCCCTTCTGTGCCGTCCTCTACCGATGGGCATCGGGTGCCGAGGTGGCCCCCTTCTCCCCGTTCCCGACTGGTCCTGCGGGTGCCCATCTGCAGGGCACACCGGCCGCCTCTCCGAGTGCCGCCTCTTCCTGCTCGTCCTCAGAGCGTGAATTACCTACCCCGCCTTCGCTTCCAGGCAAAACCAAGTCATACCACGCGCCTCCTCGTCAAGCGGCCTGACCAGTACAGGCCGTGGTTTGGCATCGCTTGGTATCTCTTGCAAGCGAGGGTGGTCAAAAGCGAGGTAGGTTTGTTTTGCCCCTACTTCCGCCGCCCGAACCCCTTGCTCCCCCCTCCGCCCCTCCCATGGAGGTCCCGATGGAGCTGCAGGAGTCACTCGGCAGGGCGGCGGAGCCGCCGGAGGCAGCAGGGAGCGCGGGCGCGGCGGGCCCGGAGGCCTCGAGCGCGAGGCTGCTTGTGGCCGCAAGCCGGGGGGTTTTGGGGGCGGCCTCGCGCCCGCAGCCTGGAGAGGGGGGGGGGCGTCGGTCCCGCAGTTCGCGGTCCCAGATCTCCAACGATCCGAGTGTTTGATCTTTGGCGGTGTTCATCGGTCTCAGCCTCCGGGGCCCGTCATCGGGCCGGGGGCCATCAAAAAGGGATCCAGAACGGAGACCTGCACCCCGCGATGAGGGGGTCGGGCTTTTTTCGTCGCAGGTTGGAAAATAATAGCTGTTGCGAAGTACCCAACCAAATGCAGCTGCGAGGTACCTCAAGACAGGTAGAAACTAAGAGAGGTGGCTGGCAACAGGGCCAAGGCGTGCGTGAGAAGGATGGAGCGACGTTGCTGATGGGATCGCAGAGGTCGGCCAGGGTTGCATCTGGATGCAGCCAGTTGCGGCTGATCTGCGCGTCTGTCGGCGCGGCTCGGGGGAGCGGCAGGCGGCGGGGCCGTCGGTGGAGCCGTGTGTGCCTACTAGTGGGCGCGGTCGCGCAGGCGATTCCCGCCACAGGGGCCTTCGGTGGAGCTCCGTATTGGGCCACACAGCGTGTGAGGGGTGTGCCGAAATGCGCGCGGTCACGCATGCCCTTCCTGCCACTGGGGCCTTCGGCGGAGCTCCCTACGGGCCCACGAGGCGTGTGAGGGCGTGTGCCGACATGCGCGCTGTCACGCATGCGATTCCTGCCATTGGGACCGTGGGTGGAGCCCCTTACGGGGCCACGAAATTTTGGAGGGGTGTGCCGAAGTGGGCGCGGTCACGCATGCGCTTCTTGCCATTGGAGCCTTGACTGGAGCTCCCTACGGGCCCACGAAGCTTGCGTGTGCCGAAAGGGGTACGGTCACGCATGCGATTCCCGCCACTGGGGCCTTCGGTGGAGCTCCATATTGGGCCACACAGCGTGTGAGGCGTGTGCCGAAATGCGCGCGGTCACGGATGCGATTCTTGCCACTGGAGTTTGTAGTGAAGTTCCCTATGGGGCCACGAATCGTGTGAGGTGTTTGCCGACATGTGCCTTGTAATGATGTTGATGTTGATGCTGATGCTGATACCAATGCTGCTGTAGATGATGATGATGATGGTGGTGATGATGACGATGATGATGAGGAGGATGATGATGGTGGTGGTGGGGAGGAGGATGAGGATGAGGATGAGGATGAGGATAAGGATGAGGATGAGGATGAGGATGAGGATGATTGCGATGGTGATGGCGATGGTAATGCTAAGCCTAATACAGATGAGAATGAGGATGACGAGGATGAGGGGGGAGGAGCGGGAGGAGGAGGTGGGAGACGCGGGTTGTTGCAGATTCAAAACGAGGACCCACAACGCAGAATGGTTGGAACGTCGTATCCGACGGTGTCTGGGGTGTTCTCCTCCGAGTCTTGGGGTGCATCCCTAGCCGATCTGTTCAGACCATGGGAGCCGGCGGGTATGAATATGTTCGGGGCCCCTCGGGCCAACGTGTGTCCATATCCGTTGTCCGAGGGCATCGGGTCTCCAGGCGGTGGTCATGGTTGAATTCCCGTCTCGCTTTTTCGACGACGACGAGCACGAGGACGAAAACGACGATGACGAAGACGACGCAGACGACGACGACGAGGACGAACACGACGACGACGAAAATGATGCAGACGAGGACGACGACGACGCGGCCGCAGTGCAGGCGCTGAGATACAGTCGGACCGAGGCATCAGGTCGAGGCCGGTTTGGGGGGGGGGTACCCTAGTGCTCTTCATGTGTGTCGAGTGTTCTTGTGCACCCTGGGGAAGGGTACCCTCGGTTGTTCGGTGTTGGGTTTGGCCGACGGAGGGTCTCATGTTCTTGAGGGGTGTTCTCCTGTCCTACATCACCCTCGAGATCAAACGCAAATTTTTCCCGCGACGTGGCGGCGCCCCAGGACCCCCCAAATGCCATGATCGCGCCGAAATGAGCGACTGCAAGCACAAACACCTGTCCCCGTGGGCCGCGTTTCGCGCGCCGACCGATATCGAAAGCTTGCGTTTGATTTCGAGGAGGTCTGTACAAACCCCCTGGAAATCAAGCGCAAGTTTTTGATGGTGGTCGACGCGCGACACGGGGGGAGCCTCTCTTCTTGGCCGCGGTTCGCCGTTGCCCGTGGCCAGACGCGCGCCCCAGCCTTTCCTCGCTCGGCCTCCCCTCTGGTACATTGCCGGGCCGAGGCAGAAGGTCGAGGTCGGTTCAGGGAGGGTACCTTAAGGTTCTCCGTGTTCGTTGGAGGAGGGTTCCCCCTGCCCAGGCTGGCCGCTCCGGCCTGCTTTTCGCAGAACTCTTCTACGTCTGAGAGCTTCCCCCCCCCCACACCCCTCCCAGGACGGTGCTGAGCTGTCTCAAGACGGGCTCTTGCAATAACAGACGGAGCAATCACATCTGCATTCCTCCCCCCGCGCGGCCGCCCTCGTCTTTTTCCTCGCTCGTGCACGCTGGACAAAGCGCCTTCCGGTTGCCCCGAATAGCCAGCCCCACGCTGGCGCGGAGGGCCTCTGCCTCGCCGCCGACGGCCACAAGTTTGCCGAGAGGGTCTCGTGCTTCCCGGGTCCGGTCCTCATTCGGCACACCTTCTGTCGGGCAAACGTAAGGCTCGAGTACGCCGGAACTCTGGTATGCCGCATCGTTTTGACGAGCGCGTCCTGGATTTGGGCACAGTTTTCGTGGGATGCCGGCAGCGGGAGCTCGCGTCAAGTGTCAGATTTGGTCCCGTCGTTCTTCACGATGGCCACGTCAGGCCAGCCCGAGTCCCTCGAGCGCGAGTCATTATACGTCTCTCCGGTTCTGGTGCAGCCGGGCCGAGGCATGAGATCGGGGTCGCGTCGGGGGGAGGGTGCCCCAGTGTTCTTCGTATCCGTGGGGGGGTTCTCGTGCCTCCTGGGTCCGCCCCTTCGTCTGCACGGCTTCCGGTACAGCCGGGCCGAGGTCATGAGATCGAGGGCGGGTCGGGGAGGGCACCATCATGCTCTTCGTGCCTGTTGGATGGGATGTTCTGGTGCGTCCTGGGGGGAGGGCACCCTCGAGTGCTCCCTTCTGGTACATTCGGGCCGAGGTATACGATCGAGCTCGGCTTGGTGGGAGGGTACCCTAATGTTCTTCGAGCTTGAGGTTTTCGTGCATCCTGGAGGAGGGCACCCTCGAATGTTTCGTGGGTGCCCCAATGTTCTTCGTGCTTCTTGGATGTTCTGGTGCTTCCTGGGGGAGGGTGCCCTCGAATGCACTTCAGTCTGGCCGGCGGAGTGTCTCCTGTCCTTGAGGGATGCTCTCCTGTTCTGGGCCCGACGCGTGCCGCGATGCCGGCAGCGGCGCGGTGGGGCGGACAAGCCTCCCCGACGCCGCACCCTGAAGAGGCGCGTGGGTATCTCGGGTGGTTAGGGGCTCCCACCGCCCATGTGTTCGGTGAGGCTCCAGGGCGACGAAGGCGTGCACAGAGTGCAGTCAACGCGCCTCGTGAGGACGCGTCCCTGCATCTTGGGCATCCTTGTTCGAAGTTCGAAGAAGGAAAACGTCATAACAGTGAACTGTTGGCGCTCCGCGCGGATTTCTTGGATCCGCGCGGGGGCCCCCCGGCGGCGCCGCCGGCGCCGCCCCTGGCGCGCTCCGCGCGCCAGGGAGGGGGGGGTCCAGCGCAGATCCAGGAAATCCGCGCGGAGCGTGAAAAATCTATGTTTATGGCGTTGTTTCGTCTTCGAACTAAGGTCCTTGCTTCTGCGGCCCGTCCTTTGCCGTTTTCACTGGTCGGCCGTCGCCCAAGAAATCCCAACTTTGGACTCCAAGGGCATCGCGCCCTTACCACCCGTCCCTCATACACGTTTTGATTGCAATTCCCACCCCCTGGGCTGTCCACCCCATCTGCCTCCCTGGAAGGCTGGGGAACACGGTGGAGAAGCTGAACTCTGGTGCCATCCAGGACCTCCGAGATGAGAAGCATGCCGATGCCGATGGCTTTCTCCCTGGCTTTCGCTTTCTGTAGGGAAGCAAAAAGTGGCATAAACATGAAAACTAGGAGATCCGCGCGGATTTCTCGGATCGGCGCTGGGGCCCCCCGGCGGCGCCTCCGGCGCCGCCCCTGGCGCGCTCCGCGCGCCAGGGAGGGGGGCCCAGCGCCGATCCGAGAAATCCGTGCGGACCTCCGAGTTTTTATGTTTATGTCACTTTTTGTTCCCCTAGTCTGGGGGCTCAACGGAGCCTCGTCGCCTGGACTTGCGTCGGAGAACCCTGGCCAGAACGCGCCCCGGGAGAGAGTGGGGGAGTTGCGGCACGGGTATTTTTACCGGAAGTAGGGAAGGGGTGTGGTGCAACGGGGTGTGATGATAATGCTGAATTTGGCGACGATGTGTATCGGAGGTAACGTCGCCATTCTCACGATTGGCACCACACCCCGTTCAAAGAACCACACCCCTTTTCCGACCTCCGAACCTTTTCTGCTCTTTCCTAGGACCCAGGGCAGCCCTTCTACATCGCAGAGGAGGAAAGTTGGCCCCTGCTTCAGCGGACCCCCGCTGCCAACCCACACCGAGCCAGCAGCCAGACCAAGGTTGCCAAACGGGAGCGGGGGCTTGGCAGTGGCTCGGGTCAGCGAGGGCCGGGTGCCAATGTTCACGCTCTGACGCGTCTTCCGCGACGGCGAGGGCGACTCGTACGTGGCTCTTCACAGGCCCAGCGACGGGGACACGGAGGGAGGAGGAGGGGATGGGATGGGGAAGGGGGAGGAGCAGGAGCTATCTCAGTCGCAGTTCTCGTCCTCCTCTCCCCTTCAGGGGTGGCCGGGCGGACTTAGCTACCCACCCCCCCTGGAGGGTCCCCCCTCGGTCCTGCGTGTCGTTTAATTTTCTTACAGCTGCCCTGCTGTGATTATCCCCGTCCCCCCCAGGGGACGACCGTCCCTGGGGTGGGGCATGGTAACATCCCTCATCGGATCAGTGCCAGCAGCGTTGGCGTCAGCAAGAGCTGTCTGGTCGCTCGAGTTTGCCTGCGGTGGTCGAGGAAACGTGAACAAGGACCAAGATGCTTGGATTAGCGACTCGTCCCAGTTCGCGGCATTGGCTTGAGATCTCCAGGGGGGGATATTTGCCCCCCGCGCACACGTTTTAGCATGTGCTTGAGGTGGGGCGGCGTGTCCCGATCACCATTGGTGTACAGAGCCATCCGTCTGCTCTTTCTCCTCTCGCATCCTTCGCCCAGTCTGTTGCGTCAACTGCCGCCCCCTGAATGCGTGAATGGATGCGGATCCTGATGAAGGGGGGGGAGGAGGAGGAGGAGGAGGAGGAGGAGGACGATGAGGAGGAGGAGGAGGAGAGGAGGAGGAGGACGAGGAGGAGGAGGAGGAGAAGGAGAGGAGGAGGAGGAGGAGGAGGAGGAGGAGGAGGGAGGAGGAGGAGGAGGTGACGGAGGTGATGGAGGAGGAGGGGGTGACGGAGAAGGAGGGAGGAGGAAGGAGGCGGAGGAGGAGGCGAAGGAGGAGGAGGAGGAGGAGGTGACGAAGGAGGAGGGAGTAGGAGGAGGAGGAGGAGGAGGAGGAGGAGGAGGAGGAAGAAAAAAGAAGAGCAGGAGGAGGAAAAGGGGGTGGAGGAGCAGGAGGAGGAGGAGGAGGAGAAGCAGGAGGAGGAGGAGCAGGAGGAGGAGGAGGAGAAAGATGAGCAGCAGGAGTAGGAGGAGGAGGAGGAGCAGGAGGAGGAGTATCAGGGACCCAGACGAGATCCAGCTGGAGGGAACGAAGGATGGAGGAGGACTCGACCCACTACAGCAGTCTCCTCGGTCGTGCCATCGGTTCGATTGATCCACCAGCAAGTCCCCGCTTGCGGATCCCCGACAGAAGGACGCCCTGAACACGCCTCCGACCTTGGCTCCGAGACAAGCCCGACTGCACCACCTAAGCGGCCAGCCCATCCAAACCCGGCGCCCCGGCGACCACCCGCTGAACCCGCGTACAGTCGGGGCGTTGACCTAAGGAACCCTAAAAGGAACGAGGCCCCTTTTTTCCCATCAGTTGAACTTCGATTCCCCATGGGAAACCTAAGGAAAACGCAGGGCAAACTGTAAAACAATCAAGGAACACCGAGCCCCTCCCCAACAAGTGTTCCTTCTTCGGCGCCCCGACTGTACTCGTGTGCCTTCGTTGCGGGACTGTCACCGTCACTGTCACTGAGCTTGGCCCTCTCACAGGCCCAGCGCCGAGGAGGCGGAGGCGAGGAGCAGGGCGAGGAGAAGTCGTCCTGCTGCGCCGGCCCCGGGCACGCCGACCCCCCCCCCCTGCATTCCAAGAGAGCCCGCGTGAGGGCCCACGGACCCGTGAGGCGGCGGGGCTCTGGCGCCCCCCCTTGGATGCCGCTGGAGGCTTCCAAGGAGGCCCCAGACCGCCCGAAGGCCTGGATCCCTCAAAAACCGATCCTCGAGCCTCGCGGAGGAGGAGGAGGAGGAGGAATCGTGGCCGAGGTTGGTGGACGAGCTGGCTGTGATAACTCTTCTGGTGGTAGCTCGCCCCATACGGTCCAGTGAACACGGTGTCGCAGCCTTGGGGCAAAGTTACACGAAGCAGCCGCAGCAGCAATATCTTCCAGCGTGGACCCACAACAGGTCAAGTTGTTGACCCGTGGATGTGTGAGCTATGTGGCGCCAGGTCTGCTTTGTGAATAAATGTATGTGGTACAAGCTGTGCTGTGCAAGCTATGTGCTGCAAGCGCTCTGGTGTGAGCTATGTGGTGAAATTTGTGTGGTGCAGGCAAGGCGGTGTAAGCTATATGATGCAACCTATGTGCTAAAAGTCTAGAGTGAGTTATCAAATCCGCTGGTCGCTCAAACATCCCACCTTGGTTGCCGATTGGAACTTGCTGCCGCACCTCTCCACCCGCAGTGGTGCGCGCACGGTCCCGCGCAGAGCGACCAGTTGGTTTGGCACAGCTGGTGCGGCCGCGATAGCGCTTGCCAGTGGGGACTTCCAACGCATCTCAAAGGCCGCGCTGGCGCGCGGGCGTGTCAGTGCGGGTCGGTGATTCGGGCAGGTGCGGTATCATGATGATCTCGGCAACGGTAGCAGTTGTGACGATGGTGGTGGCGATGCGATGCTGACGATGGCGGCTGCAACGCCAATGACGGTGCCGATGCTGGTGACGACGGTGGCGATGTTTATGCCCATGTGTCAGTTATGAAGGTGAGTTTGTTGACGATGTCGGCAATGGCGGCGATCGACGATGACGATAACAGTGGTGATGCGATGGCGCTGATGAGGGTGATGGTGGGAACATGTGCGCGCGCAGAAATTCAAGAGTCCTGGCAGGTTTCTTTGTTAACATCTGTTGTCTTCACATGTTTTCCAGGATCTATGTATATATATATGTGTAGATACAGTAATGCTTCGAGACTCAAAGGTTCCGGGAGGATTTCGAAGAGCGCATTTGGCCGCGCGCGCAATGGGCCCGCGTGGGGTACGTGTTGATAGAAAGCCGCTCACTGGCGCATTCCAGATCCACGCGGGTGGACAATATGGTGAGATGGCAGTGCGGGTCCTTGGCGACACCCTTCAACAACCGAGTGCCCCCATGATTCCAGCAAGTGCGTGCGGGCAGGCGAATTGCAACACACTCGGTGGAAAACCAATAGGTTGTAACGTTTCATGTTGGCCTGGTATTTGACCTGCGTGCATCGCGATTGTGTTTTGCATTGCTTCGACATGCGCGCGCGTGTGGACCATGTGGCAAGCCTGTTGAAGTCAGCAAGGGTGCACGCATGGAAAAACTGGCAAGGGCGGAAGGCTGACAACACCAGCCCTCTTGGGATGGGATGGTTTTGTGTGCAAAAGGCAAGGCGAGGCAGAGTCGCACGCACACTGCAATGTGCAACGAAAGGTGTCCGTTGGCCCCAGGCGCAGGAGGCGGACGCGGCCGCCCAGCCCACGAGGCGCCCGCGAGGCACCCGCGGGCGGGCACCAGACGAAGCCGCGGCACCCACGGACCAGACGAAGCTGAGTGGCGGCGGAGGGCGGCGCGGGGCGCGGGGACACCGCGGGAGTGCGCGCGGGGGGGGCCGGCGCGCGGCCCCGGCGGTGCGTCGGACGCCTCCTCGAGACGGGGGGGTCCCCCAGACGGCCTTGAGCCAGAGGCTACGGAAACACACACACACACACATTCACACACACACACATTCACACACACACATACACACACACACACACACACGCACACACACACACACACACACACACGCACGCACACACACGCACACACACACACACACACACACACACACACACGCACGCACACACACACACACACGCACACACACGCACATAGCGCACGAGGCGCCCACGGGCGGGCACCAAGGGCGAACCCTCGGCACGCCCACCCGGCACGAGGCGCCCACGACGCGCCCACGGGCCGCACCAACCAGGCACCGGTGACCGGAGGAGGAGAGGAAGAGGAGGAGGAGTAGGAGGAGGAGGAGGAGGAGGAGGAGGAGGAGGAGGAGGAGGACCAGTGTAAGCCCAAGAGTCATCAACGATGCTGGACTAACCCCTCCTTCCAAGCTCCCTCTCCACAGGCCCCTTACAACGGTTCAGTATCATTGAAGGAATTGCCTCTTTTGAAGATAACCGTATGAAGAACCTGAAGCATGCCAAAACCTTGTTCTCGGGATTACAACGCTACAGATCAGCCGAACTGCTGCGTGTTACGCGCCAGAGTGCCATTCCTGGGACGTCAACACAGCGAACCAACATAATTGTTGCACCCGCATAATCCTGAATCCTTTCAAAACATCATTTCTGGTACTTTGATCATGGGAACACGTGAAAATTATGTTTTTTTGATGTTTGATATAAAAAAAAGAATGCGCGCCGCGCTAAGGCGTGAGCCACATTTTGACAAGGAACCGCCCTCAATCCGTGAAACGATTTTATATGTTTCAAACCAATGTGCGCCGCGCTAAGGCGAGAGTCACATGAAAACGACCTCCCTGAAACCGTGAAACTCTTGCGATATAGACGCCGCGCTAAGGCGAGAGTCACGTTTGTTGGAAACGGCCCGCCCTCAATCCATGAAGCTCTTGCAAGTGTTTCAAACGAATGTGCGCCGCGCTACGGAGAGAGCCTCATTTTGAAAACGACCCACCCTCACTCCGTGAAGCTTTTGATATTGATTAAAACGAATAGACGCCGCGCTAAGGCGAGCGTCACATTTGTTGAAAACGACCCGCCCTCAATCCGTGAAGCTCTTGCAAGTGTTTAATACGAATGTGCGCCGCGCTAAGACGAGAGTCATATTTGTTGACAACGGCCCGCCCTCAACCCGTGAAGTTCTTGCAAGTGTTTAAAGCGAATGCGCGCCGCGCTCAGCAAAGAGCTACATATTGAAAACGACCCGCCCTCAATCCGTGAAGCTCTTGAGATTAGTGTAGAACGAATGTACGCCGCGCTAAAGCGAGAGCTACATATTGAAAACAATTCGCCCTCCATGTGTGAACCTGTTGCCAATTGTTTTGCTTCGAAGTCATAATTTGTAGGGAAGTCTCAGGCGAAACGCCCAGCCCGCCTTAAAGACTGGCCTCGGGTGCGACAGGGAACAAGTTTTCTATGCGGAAATGGAGCGGAGGAGGAGGAGGAGGAGGAGGAGGAGGA